CAATTTTTTTAATATTTCCAACATAATCACTTGACAGGTGATTTCAAAGAATTAGTTGAAAAGCATTTGTATAGTACTTTGATAAATACTTAATTTGTATTTGTGGGTTTTTAACTCAAAGTATCCTAACATACATTCAATCAGGGTTTAAGGTAAAAATGTAGTCACATGAACAATTTTATGGACAACAAAGTAAAATGCTAGCTTTCCTTTTGTTTTTAAATTTTTCTAGTATAGTATTCTTTTACATTTTTGTTTGTAAGTTCCTAAAGAGAGAATGACTCTAAAACCCTCTTTCTTTCTTCTACTTTAAGGTTTTAGTATCTATTTGCTTCATTCAAAGTTAGACTGATCCAGTAAAAGAATATCCTGCTATACTTAATCATATTTTCTAATCCAGTTACAAGAAAAATTAAATGAATTAAATTTCAAATGTCTGGAAATTTGTTTTCCAGTTGACAGCTCTGACTTAAGCCAGAGTTCCTGTGGCTTAATTCCAGGAAATCTTTTTTTACCTGATTATTATAAACTAGAGTTTGAAATCGTTCTCATATGGAATTTTTTTATTCTTAGCTCTTCATCACCCAATTCTCAGCAATTTTGTTTAAGAACAGCAACAGCAAAGTAAGTTGATTGAGAGTCACAAACAAATCAATGCTGAATGATAAGCAAAAACATCTAAAAGAAAAAGACATAAAAAGTTGTTTATTATTTGGTCTAAGCAAGCGCTTAGTATTCACAAAGAGTAACAATAGTAGATCCCTCCAATAGTAAAGACAGTTCTTCCCATTATACTAATAAAAAACAAAAATAAAGATAAATAAATCAATTTTATTACATCTGAGTGAAATAAACTAGACCAAAAACTGCATTTTTTTTCTTATGAATTTAAACTAGAAAGCAAAACAATTTCAAAATGGGGTCATAGCACCATCTGCAGGTTCAAAGTCTTAATTTACAGATTTTATAAAAATGTGTTTTTTATTTTCTTTCAAGGAAATGGAATATAAACCAGAAG